GGAGAACCTTCCAGAAGGACAACCATCTCCACAGAGGACCTCTAGAGCTCTGTCAGAGTGACCATCGGGTTCTTGGTCACATCCCTGACCTAGGCCCTAGGAAGAGTATTGGTGGTTCCAAACTTCTTCCATTTAAGAACGATGGAGGCCACTCTGTTCTTGAGGACCTTCAATGCTGTAGAAATGTTTTGGTACCCTTCCCCAGATCTGTGCCTCGACACAATCCTGTCTCGGAGCTCTACGGACAATTCCTTCGACCTCATGGCTTGGTTTTTGCTCTGACATGCACTGTCAACTGTGGGACCTTTTATATAGACAGGTGTGTGCCTTTTCTAATCATGTCCAATCAATTGAAATTACCACAGATGGGCTCCAATCAAGTTGTAGAAACATCTCAAGGATGATCAATGGAAACAGGATGCACCTGAGCTCAATTTCGAGTCTCATAACAAAGGGTCTGAAAACTTATATAAATAAGGTTGTTTTTTATTTTTACAAAATTTGCAAAAAATTCTACAAACCTGTTTTCACTTGGTCATTATGGGCTATTGTGTGTAGATTGATGAGTAAAATGTTTTATTAATCTGTTTCAGAATAAGGCTGTAACGTAACAAAATGTGGAAAAAGTCAAGGGGTCTGAATACTTTCCGGATGCACTGTAGCAGCTAACGTGTATAATGTTTTGTTATCTATACATAGACACACTGGCTTTACTCAAAGCCAGCGGCATGTCGTTAGTAAAGATCGAAAAAATGACTTCAAAAAATTAGTATTTAGGATTGAGTTTTCACATGCTAAAGAGTTTGGCCTTGATAAAAAACCCATATGTGCATTAACTGCCTTCCCAATGAAAAATTGAACATAAATTTTATGGAAAATACATGTTCCTGAACGATGCCTTGTCAATATGAAAAAATATATACGTGTATTTTTCCATATATAGACACACCCTATGTGTTTTAATAAAATCAACTAGATGCATTGAGCTGGTCTACGGTTTGATGCCTCAAGAGGGCACCAGAGATCTAGATAACCAGAATAAAAAAAACTTAACCTGACCCAACTATTCTCCTCCCGCTCCTGCTGGCAGATTCTGCCGTTACTCTCCCGAAGGTGATAGGCTACACGACGAGTCGGCAACCTTCCTGGAATGACAATTTATCTTACCATTTCTACCGATCTGCCTAACAGTTATGGTTTTCATATGCACATTTTCATGAAAGTTTAATTTATAATAACAACTTCATATCTCAAAATCATTGTCATGTGGTTAATCAAAATTCTATCCAAATCTAAATGAAAATGATACAAACCTAAAAAGTAACTTCTATTGCCAACTATGTAGAAATAGCTTATAAAGCCAACAAATAAAAACATTGTAGCCTGCAGGTAGAAAATATCCTGATCAAAATAAATATCATATAAATCACATTGGCTATGCATGGCCTGTCTGCAAGAAACCAGAAACATTGTATCAACTATTAACTTGGGTCCGGCCCGAAGCTTGGCTAGTGAACTTGCAACATTGTATAAAATATTCTGGGCCCTCAAGAGTTTCCCACTCAGGACAGACACAGCTGTAGGCTAATTTGCGCAAGGGATAAGCAGCAATGCTTGACTTGGGTAGGAGCTCACCGGAGCTGAGTACCTGCACCTCAAATGTTCTACTGCTTGCGCTTCTGTTCCTCTTATAGAGCATGACATTTTTCCCTTTTACGCTGATTGGTTATCGAAAGAGAGCTGGAAGATTTTTCAACTACATTGAGGAACTATTGTAATTGTCAATGGATGTAAAAAAAAACGACTTTGTTTGCTGTTTGAGGTGAAGAAAACATTACTATGAGAAGCTCCACAGGTCATTACTGGTGGTGCGTTAAGCCAATCAGAAATACTATCAGATCCCCAAATGTGCACATTTATATGCCTACATTAGCGTGCGTGTCCTTACTCAACATTGACAGGAGCGCTCCAAACAAAAGGCAATGACTAAATTGACAGAACTCGTAAATGGAATTAAATCAACCAAAACTTGTTTCTCCCAAGTGTAGCATAGGTTGTGCACTCTGAAAACAATGTGTCCACTCCGACAATGAGAACAGGAAGACTGGAATAATAATATTGAATGCATTAAAAGAAATGACCGTAACCAAAAGTAACAAACATTGTAAATTAGAAATTATTGGAATGAACGGTAAATGTACTACTGGTGATATACGTAATGGGGAATTGATAGACACTAACAATCAAACGCAAACAATTCACACAATGAAGTTATGAAACAATGAATGTGAACAAATGGAGACAGAGGGACAGAGACATAGGGAGAGAGAGACAAGACAGAGAGAGAGACAAGACAGAGAGAGAGACAAGACTGAGCGAGGGAGAGAGCCAAGACAGGGAGAGCGAGAGGGAGAGAGCCAAGACAGGAAGAGAGAGGGAGCCAAGACAGGGGGAGAGAGAGAGCCAAGACAGGAAGAGAGAGGGAGCCAAGACAGGGGGAGAGAGAGAGCCAGGACAGGAAGAGAGAGAGAGAGATCCAAGACAGGGAGAGAGAGACAGGGAGAGAGAGCCAATACAGGGATAGCTAGAGAGAGAGCCAAGACAGGGAGCGAGAGAACGAGCCAAGACAAGGAGAGAGCCAAGAATGATACAAGATGGACAGAGACACGGATGGAGAGAGAGACTGACAGAGAAGAACGCAAGAATAAGACATACCTGGTCCAGCCACTGGTGAGCGTTGACAGCTACCTGGGTTCCTAGAGGCTTGGTCAGGACCAACACATCCCCTGGTACCGCACTGTCTGGCCTACACACCCACAGACACGGTCAGGACCAACACATCCCCTGGTACTGCACTGTCTGGCCTACACACCCACAGACACGGTCAGGACCAACACATCCCCTGGTACTGCACTGTCTGGCCTACACACCCACAGACACGGTCAGGACCAACACATCCCCTGGTACTGCACTGTCTGGCCTACACACCCACAGACACGGTCAGGACCAACACATCCCCTGGTACCGCTCTGTCTGGCCTACACACCCACAGACACGGTCAGGACCAACACATCCCCTGGTACTGCACTGTCTGGCCTACACACCCACAGACACGGTCAGGACCAACACATCCCCTGGTACTGCACTGTCTGGCCTACACACCCACAGACACGGTCAGGACCAACACATCCCCTGGTACCGCTCTGTCTGGCCTACACACCCACGGTCAGGACCAACACATCCCCTGGTACTGCACTGTCTGGCCTACACACCCACGGTCAGGACCAACACATCCCCTGGTACCGCACTGTCTGGCCTACACACCCACGCACGTCAGGACCAACACATCCCCTGGTACTCGCACTGTCTGGCCTACACACCCAGACACGGTCAGGACCAACACATCCCTGGTACCGCTCTGTCTGGCCTACACACCCACGAGGTCAGGACCAACACATCCCTGGTACCGCACTGTCTGGCCTACACACCCACAGACACGGTCAGGACCAACACATCCCCTGGTACCGCACTGTCTGGCCTACACACCCACAGACACGGTCAGGACCAACACATCCCCTGGTACTGCCTGTCTGGCCTACACACCCACGGTCAGGACCAACACATCCCCTGGTACCGCACTGTCTGGCCTACACACCCACAGACACGGTCAGGACCAACACATCCCCTGGTACCGCACTGTCTGGCCTACACACCCACAGACACGGTCAGGACCAACACATCCCCTGGTACCGCACTGTCTGGCCTACACACCCACAGACACGGTCAGGACCAACACATCCCCTGGTACCGCTCTGTCTGGCCTACACACCCACGGTCAGGACCAACACATCCCCTGGTACCGCACTGTCTGGCCTACACACCCACAGACACGGTCAGGACCAACACATCCCCTGGTACCGCACTGTCTGGCCTACACACCCACAGACACGGTCAGGACCAACACATCCCCTGGTACCGCACTGTCTGGCCTACACACCCACAGACACGGTCAGGACCAACACATCCCCTGGTACCGCACTGTCTGGCCTACACACCCACAGACACGGTCAGGACCAACACATCCCCTGGTACCGCACTGTCTGGCCTACACACCCACAGACACGGTCAGGACCAACACATCCCCTGGTACCGCTCTGTCTGGCCTACACACCCACACTTTCTCACACAGTGTCGATTTTAACAAAATATGGGTGGCGCAAACGTAATCAAAAAAGCGAATATGCATGGGAACCACTACACTTAACTACACATTCAATGTTTTACCATCATAATAACCAATCCCAGAAATACGTTTTGAGCCACACAAACGTTCCTTCCCTTAACTCTTATTGCACGGAAGACCACAGTAGTCCATCCTGTTCATTTTTCTTCAGAATACATTTCAGCATCGGTCTGCAAAATTGCTAATCATTCTCAGAGTATTGGGACGCAGCCAAACACCATTCTGAGTGCAGTTGTTGCCTGTTAACAAGAAGCTCCGGTTAAGAATAAAGCAACAAAATTTATAAAAGCAATTATTCACCATATAGGCAACATTATTCACCACCTGAGGAAGTAGGAAAACACTTGGCTAGATTGCCAACTCTAAATCATGTTGCTAGATAGTTTTTTAAATTAATGTATTAATCTAACGCGACCAGCAACAACAAATATACACTGGCACCCGAAGACAAAGGGTTCCAAATGCAAATGTTTTGTCGCAGTTTTGAGCCCTGAAACCCTTAACGCAAAACACACACTCCTCAAAACACACACTCCTCAAAACACACACTCCTCAAAACACACACTCCTCAAAACACACACTCCTCAAAACCCACACTCCTCAAAACCCACACTCCTCAAAACACACACTCCTCAAAACACACACTCCTCAAAACACACACTCCTCAAAACACACACTCCTCAAAACACACACTCCTCAAAACAAACACTCCTCAAAACACACACTCCTCAAAACACACTCCTCAAAACACACTGTCTTACATGATGAACTTGTTTGGTTGGCAGGCAACCGAGGCCACGCCCCCTACGATGATCCAGGGGTTGACCACCGTCTGGCCGCCAGTCACAGAAGTCCCGCCCCTCCTCCGCCGCATCACGGAAACGACGGATCATCAGAGGCATCACACGCTCACGCTCACACACACGGTTATCATTTCATCACGGCCAACTAGCTCACACACACGGTTATCATTTCATCACGGCCAACTAGCACACACACACGGTTATCATTTCATCACGGCCAACTAGCTCACACACACGGTTATCATTTCATCACGGCCAACTAGCTCACACACACGGTTATCATTTCATCACGGCCAACTAGCACACACACACGGTTATCATTTCATCACGGCCAACTAGCACACACACACGGTTATCATTTCATCACGGCCAACTAGCTCACACACACGGTTATCATTTCATCACGGCCAACTAGCTCACACACACGGTTATCATTTCATCACGGCCAACTAGCACACACACACGGTTATCATTTCATCACGGCCAACTAGCACACACACACACGGTTATCATTTCATCACGGCCAACTAGCTCACACACACGGTTATCATTTCATCACGGCCAACTAGCTCACACACACGGTTATCATTTCATCACGGCCAACTAGCTCACACACACGGTTATCATTTAATCACGGCCAACTAGCACACACACACGGTTATCATTTCATCACGGCCAACTAGCACACACACACACGGTTATCATTTCATCACGGCCAACTAGCTCACACACACGGTTATCATTTCATCACGGCCAACTAGCTCACACACACGGTTATCATTTCATCACGGCCAACTAGCACACACACGGTTATCATTTCATCACGGCCAACTAGCACACACACACGGTTATCATTTCATCACGGCCAACTAGCTCACACACACGGTTATCATTTCATCACGGCCAACTAGCTCACACACACGGTTATCATTTCATCACGGCCAACTAGCTCACACACACGGTTATCATTTCATCACGGCCAACTAGCTCACACACACACGGTTATCATTTCATCACGGCCAACTAGCACACACACACACGGTTATCATTTCATCACGGCCAACTAGCTCACACACACGGTTATCATTTCATCACGGCCAACTAGCTCACACACACGGTTATCATTTCATCACGGCCAACTAGCACACACACACGGTAATCATTTCATCACGGCCAACTAGCACACACACACACGGTTATCATTTCATCACGGCCAACTAGCTCACACACACGGTTATCATTTCATCACGGCCAACTAGCTCACACACACGGTTATCATTTCATCACGGCCAACTAGCTCACACACACGGTTATCATTTCATCACGGCCAACTAGCACACACACACGGTTATCATTTCATCACACGCTCACGCTCCTGCACACACACACGGTTATCATTTCATCACGGCCAACTAGCACACACACACGGTTATCATTTCATCACGGCCAACTAGCTCACACACACGGTTATCATTTCATCACGGCCAACTAGCACACACACACGGTTATCATTTCATCACGGCCAACTAGCTCACACACACGGTTATCATTTCATCACGGCCAACTAGCTCACACACACGGTTATCATTTCATCACGGCCAACTAGCACACACACACGGTTATCATTTCATCACGGCCAACTAGCTCACACACACGGTTATCATTTCATCACGGCCAACTAGCACACACACACGGTTATCATTTCATCACGGCCAACTAGCACACACACACGGTTATCATTTCATCACGGCCAACTAGCTCACACACACGGTTATCATTTCATCACGGCCAACTAGCTTCCTGTTCTGCAGGTTAGACTGACTGGGCATAACTCCAGGAACACATGCACGTCTGACGCACACAAAAACACACACGTGCTACAGACAGGTTGCTTCACATGGAACAGTCCAAGTCTGACAAATTGGAGATGAGTGGGTTCATGAATTTTTGTTTTTTGTTCTGAAGCCCCACCAGTCACCCTGCTAGCTACTTCAACTACACACACAGAGAGCATGAGGTTACCTACCTTCTCAGATATCTTCTGGCTGACACTGAGTAGCATCAGCATGTTGTCACACTCTGTGATGCCCATAGCATAGAGATCACTGAGGACATTAGCGCACGCTATCCTTCCCTGGAGAGAGAGACGGGGGAAGAGAGAGAGAGAGAGGATTGAGATGTAACAGAGCAAAAAGCATACATCTTGCCCTGAGAAAGGTGAGGTGTTTAGGGTCAGAATAGAACTCCCCCATTGTATAGGGGTCCTCTACTAGAGGTTGAAGTTGAGGGGTTAAAGGTCAGGGGTTAGAACTCACCATCATGTAGGGGTCCTCCACCAGAGGGTAGAAGAAGTCTGTAGTTTGGACCAATGAGAGGCCTCCGTGTCTCAGAGGGACCACACAGGAGTCCATGCCCATACCTGCACAGCACCCACAGAGTTTAGCAATGTTCAAGCTACCCTGGTATGCAATGATTCATTGAATGATGAATGAGACAACACCCCCCCCCCGCCCTCTCAGTAAGGAGCTTTCAGCATCATTCCTGGGCACCTTTATAACCGTGTGGACCTAACTAACGTTATTAATTTACTAACAGCAGCTAGCATTGGGTAACTACAACTGAGTGATAAACAGTCAACTGGAAAGGTTATTTAAGGCCTTGCAGTTGCCTGGAAATCTGTCGATGAATTGCATTGAATACTACATCGTGCAGAAATGAGCATATGCATCAGGAAAGTTTCCTCTCACCACCTCTACAAGCCAGAATGTTTAATACAACCACATTTTAACTTCCTTTACCGGTTGTCTGTAGTAATACGAGACAATATATCCACAGGAAAGCATAAATACATAAACTTTTCAAAGCGCTGGTAGTGCATTCAGATTTCTATCACATGGTTCTGCGCATACTTCAGGCGATAGAAAGCTGAATGAACTGACTTTACCGCCGCTTAGAAAAGTTGACGTAATTAGTCATTATACTTCCCTGTGTATAATTACAGAAGGCCCAACTGCATGGACAACCGGTAAGGTACGTTAAAAAACAAACATTTTATTCAACATTCTGGCTTGTAGAGGTCGTGAGAGGAAACTTTCCTGACTCAAACGTTCATTTCTGCCCGACATAGAATTGAATGCAAGCAATTCAACGTCGAGTTTCCAGGCAAGCCCTGCAACAGAGATGCTGAAATAGAAGGCGCTGACAAGCCTAGCTAACTTCAGCTAGCATACACGCTAATTGCAGATCCAGTACTGTTAGTTGACTGGCTAGCAAGAGAAGGGACATTTTTATATTTGATTTATTTGGCCATTTTAAACACAATTCAACCACGTGCATACATGCCATTAAAATCATCGAGTATGACACAAGCACGTTTAAAAAAGTATTTCCATAGTGATCCTCATAGCAAGCCATTGGCCCCCCTGTAGCTCAGTTGGTAGAGCATGGCGCTTGCAACGCCAGGGTTGTGGGGTCGTTTCCCACAGGGGGGCAGTATGAAAATGTATGCACTCACGAACTGTAAGTCGCTCTGGATAAGAGCGTCTGCTAAATGACTAAAATGTCAACAACAATTTTTTAAAATTATGTCTGCACGGCTATCTTAGCCAATGAACGTTAGTTAGCTAATAAAAAATCTAGCTACATTAGCTAGCTTGCCAATGTAGCAAGTACACGTACAAACGTAGCTAGAACGAAATGATATACGTTAAAAAGCTAGTTGGCTACTGTACCGAGTTAAATAACCCTACCTAGCCGGGAACCTGCGGGGGTGTTAAATAACCCTACCTAGCCGGGAACCTGCGGGGGTGTTAAATAACCCTACCTAGCCGGGAACCTGTGGGGGTGTTAAATAACCCTACCTAGCCGGGAACCTGTGGGGGTGTTAAATAACCCTACCTAGCCGGGAACCTGTGGGGGTGTTAAATAACCCTACCTTGCCGGGAACCTGTGGGGGTGTTAAATAACCCTACCTAGCCGGGAACCTGTGGGGGTGTTAAATAACCCTACCTAGCCGGGAACCTGTGGGGGTGTTAAATAACCCTACCTAGCCGGGAACCTGTGGGGGTGTTAAATAACCCTACCTAGCCGGGAACCTGCGGGGGTGTTAAATAACCCTACCTAGCCGGGAACCTGTGGGGGTGTTAAATAACCCTACCTAGCCGGGAACCTGTGGGGGTGTTAAATAACCCTACCTAGCCGGGAACCTGTGGGGGTGTTAAATAACCCTACCTAGCCGGGAACCTGTGGGGGTGTTAAATAACCCTACCTAGCCGGGAACCTGTGGGGGTGTTAAATAACCCTACCTAGCCGGGAACCTGCGGGGGTGTTGGGAGCGAGTTGTCCGAATACAGAGCCTTGGTCCCCAGCTTCCCCCGGCCGGTGGGGCTCCAGTCCCGCCAGGAGTTTGAGCAGAGCCTCCTGCGGGACCTTACACCCTCATCCCTTCAGATCTGAGAAGCACGTCAGGCGGAAACCGGCGTCTAGGTCGTGCTCTTCGGGGTGGAATGACTGGTCCTAACACACTAACCCTGCTGACTGACTGACTGGTCCAAACACACTAACCCTGCTGACTGACTGGTCCTCCTAACACACTAACCCTGCTGACTGACTGGTCCTCCTAACACACTAACCCTGCTGACTGACTGGTCCTCCTAACACACTAACCCTGCTGACTGACTGGTCCTCCTAACACACTAACCCTACTGACTGACTGGTCCTCCTAACACACTAACCCTACTGACTGACTGGTCCTCCTAACACACTAACCCTACTGACTGACTGATCCTAACACACTAACCCTGCTGACTGACTGGTCCTCCTAACACACTAACCCTGCTGACTGACTGGTCCTAACACACTAACCCTGCTGACTGACTGGTCCTCCTAACACACTAACCCTGCTGACTGACTGGTCCTCCTAACACACTAACCCTACTGACTGACTGGTCCTCCTAACACACTAACCCTGCTGACTGACTGGTCCTAACACACTAACCCTACTGACTGACTGGTCCTAACACACTAACCCTACTGACTGACTGGTCCTCCTAACACACTAACCCTACTGACTGACTGATCCTAACACACTAACCCTGCTGACTGACTGGTCCTCCTAACACACTAACCCTACTGACTGACTGATCCTAACACACTAACCCTGCTGACTGACTGGTCCTCCTAACACACTAACCCTACTGACTGACTGGTCCTCCTAACACACTAACCCTACTGACTGACTGGTCCTCCTAACACACTAACCCAACTGACTGACTGATCCTAACACACTAACCCTGCTGACTGACTGGTCCTCCTAACACACTAACCCTGCTGACTGACTGATCCTAACACACTAACCCTACTGACTGACTGGTCCTCCTAACACACTAACCCTGCTGACTGACTGGTCCTCCTAACACACTAACCCTACTGACTGACTGGTCCTCCTAACACACTAACCCTGCTGACTGACTGGTCCTCCTAACACACTAACCCTGCTGACTGACTGGTCCTAACACACTAACCCTGCTGACTGACTGGTCCTAACACACTAACCCTACTGACTGACTGGTCCTAACACATTAACCCTACTGACTGACTGACTGGTCCTCCTAACACACTAACCCTACTGACTGACTGGTCCTCCTAACACACTAACCCTGCTGACTGACTGGTCCTCCTAACACACTAACCCTGCTGACTGACTGGTCCTCCTAACACACTAACCCTACTGACTGACTGACTGGTCCTCCTAACACACTAACCCTACTGACTGACTGGTCCTCCTAACACACTAACCCTGCTGACTGACTGGTCCTAACACACTAACCCTGCTGACTGACTGGTCCTAACACACTAACCCTGCTGACTGACTGGTCCTCCTAAAACACACTAATCCTGCTGACTGACTGGTCCTCCTAATACACTAACCCTGCTGACTGACTGGTCCTCCTAACACACTAACCCTACTGACTGACTGGTCCTCCTAACACACTAACCCTGCTGACTGACTGGTCCTCCTAACACACTAACCCTACTGACTGACTGGTCCTCCTAACACACTAACCCTGCTGACTGACTGGTCCTCCTAAAACACTAACCCTGCTGACTGACTGGTCCTCCTAACACACTAACCCTGCTGACTGACTGGTCCTCCTAACACACTAACCCTGCTGACTGACTGGTCCTCCTAACACACTAACCCTGCTGACTGACTGGTCCTCCTAACACACTAACCCTACTGACTGACTGGTCCTCCTAACACACTAACCCTGCTGACTGACTGGTCCTCCTAATACAGTAACCCTGCTGACTGACTGGTCCTCCTAAAACACAAACCCTACTGACTGACTGGTCCTCCTAACACACTAACCCTGCTGACTGACTGGTCCTCCTAACACACTAACCCTACTGACTGACTGACTGGTCCTCCTAACACACTAACCCTGCTGACTGACTGGTCCTCCTAACACACTAACCCTGCTGACTGACTGGTCCTCCTAACACACTAACCCTGCTGACTGACTGGTCCTAACACACTAACCCTGCTGACTGACTGGTCCTCCTAACACACTAACCCTGCTGACTGACTGGTCCTCCTAACACACTAACCCTGCTGACTGACTGGTCCTAACACACTAACCCTACTGACTGACTGACTGGTCCTCCTAACACACTAACCCTGCTGACTGACTGGTCCTCCTAACACACTAACCCTGCTGACTGACTGGTCCTCCTAACACACTAACCCTGCTGACTGACTGGTCCTATCACACTAACCCTGCTGACTGACTGGTCCTAACACACTAACCCTACTGACTGACTGACTGGTCCTCCTAACACACTAACCCTGCTGACTGACTGGTCCTCCTAACACACTAACCCTGCTGACTGACTGGTCCTCCTAACACACTAACCCTGCTGACTGACTGGTCCTCCTAACACACTAACCCTGCTGACTGACTGGTCCTCCTAACACACTAACCCTGCTGACTGACTGGTCCTAACACACTAACCCTGCTGACTGACTGGTCCTCCTAACACACTAACCCTACTGACTGACTGACTGGTCCTCCTAACACACTAACCCTACTGACTGACTGGTCCTCCTAACACACTAACCCTGCTGACTGACTGGTCCTAACACACTAACCCTACTGACTGACTGGTCCTCCTAACACACTAACCCTACTGACTGACTGGTCCTAACACACTAACCCTACTGACTGACTGGTCCTAAAACACTAACCCTACTGACTGACTGGTCCTCCTAATACACTAACCCTACTGACTGACTGGTCCTCCTAACACACTAACCCTGCTGACTGACTGGTCCTCCTAACACACTAACCCTGCTGACTGACTGGTCCTAACACACTAACCCTGCTGACTGACTGGTCCTCCTAACACACTAACCCTACTGACTGACTGGTCCTAAAACACTAACCCTACTGACTGACTGGTCCTCCTAATACACTAACCCTGCTGACTGACTGGTCCTCCTAACACACTAACCCTACTGACTGACTGGTCCTAACACACTAACCCTACTGACTGACTGGTCCTAACACACTAACCCTACTGACTGACTGGTCCTCCTAACACACTAACCCTGCTGACTGACTGGTCCAAACACACTAACCCTGCTGACTGACTGGTTCTAACACACTAACCCTGCTGACTGACTGGTCCTCCTAACACACTAACCCTGCTGACTGACTGGTCCTCCTAACACACTAACCCTACTGACTGACTGGTCCTCCTAACACACTAACCCTACTGACTGACTGGTCCTAACACACTAACCCTGCTGACTGACTGGTCCTCCTAACACACTAACCCTGCTGACTGACTGGTCCTAACACACTAACCCTGCTGACTGACTGGTCCTAACACACTAACCCTGCTGACTGACTGACTGGTCCTCCTAACACACTAACCCTGCTGACTGACTGGTCCTAACACACTAACCCTACTGACTGACTGGTCCTAACACACTAACCCTGCTGACTGACTGGTCCTCCTAACACACTAACCCTGCTGACTGACTTGTCCTAACACACTAACCCTACTGACTGACTGGTCCTAAAACACTAACCCTACTGACCGTCTGACTGATTGGTCGTAACACAGTAATCCTGCTTACTGACTGGTCCTCCTAACCCGCTAACCCTGCTGACTGACTGGTCCTCCTAACCCGCTAACCCTGCTGACTGACTGGTTCTCCTAACCCGCTAACCCTGCTGACTGACTGGTCCTCCTAACCCGCTAACCCTGCTGACTGACTGGTCCTCCTAACCCGCTAACCCTGCTGACTGACTGGTCCTCCTAACCCGCTAACCCTGCTGACTGACTGGTCCTCCTAACCCGCTAACCCTGCTGACTGACTGGTCCTCCTAACCCGCTAACCCTGCTGACTGACTGGTCCTCCTAACCCGCTAACCCTGCTGACTGACTGGTCCTCCTAACCCGCTAACCCTGCTGACTGACTGGTCCTCCTAACCCGCTAACCCTGCTGACTGACTGGTCCTCCTAACCCGCTAACCCTGCTGACTGAATGCTCTAACCGTCAGCTGCTCTAACCGTAGTCTCTCTACAGTATGGTCGATCACAGAAGGCTTCTTCTACCCAGATTACTAATAGTAATGCCTGACTATCATGAGAACTGATTGATATGGTGGATGTGTTTAAATATACCAGATGTCCCCACAAGAATAGTAAACAAACACACATTTGACCAACTGGGGACATTTTGTTAGTCCCCACAAGGTCAAATGCTATTTCTAGGCAGTTTAAGGACAACGTTACATTTAGTGTTAGGGTTAGGAGCTAGGGTTAGTTTTAGGGTTAGGAGCTAGGGTTAGTTTTAGGGTTAGGAGCTAGGGTTAGTTTTAGGGTTAGGAGCTAGGGTTAGTTTTAGGGTTAGGAGCTAGGGTTAGTTTTAGGGTTAGGAGCTAGGGTTAGTTTTAGGGTTAGGAGCTAGGGTTAGTTTTAGGGTTAGGAGCTAGGGTTTCGGGTTGAGGTTAGGTTAAGGTTTAGGGTTAGGGAAAATAGGATTTTGAATGGGACTGAATTGTGTCCCCCCACAAGGTTAGTTATACAAGACTGTGTGTTTGTGTTTGACTTCTGATGATGTAGAGTTGCATTCTGGTAAAACAGTTTCGAAAGGAACGCATAGGAAGTAGCGAGACAGGAAGAACTGGGTAAAACTTTTAAAAGTTTATTAGTTGAACAGAACATCTATCTTTCTGAGCGGCTCGGAAAACCATCAGAACCCAAATTACATCAGACATTAAAATAAAATAAAATACATTAACACACAATCACATACAGCGGGACTGTAACAGGTCTTTAGGGAATAAGATACATTACAAAAATACTTTGTTCTCCTTCACAGGGAGGAGTTTAGTGACCTGGCTTGG